ATGGTGCTATCATCAGCAAATAAATCGGTGTTATGATTAGGATTAGATAAAGGAAGATCATTTATAAAAATTACAGGTCCTAAAACGGATCCTTGAGGTACACCCGTTTTTTGTTTTTGTAAGTCTGAAGATGTATTTGAAATAGATACCATCTGATATCTGTCAGCCAAATATGATGTAAACCATCGTAGCGAAGTATAAGCAAATTTGTATTTGTTTAATTTTTGAATAAGCAGTTCATGATTGAGAAGATCAAAGGCTTTTGCTAGATCTAGAAACACTGCCCCAACAAGATCGCCATCATCAATGGCTTTAAGCCATTTATCCAATAAAGCTGTTAACGCAGTTTGACAAGAATGGTTTGCGCGAAAGCCTGACTGCATTCTATACAATAAGTTGTATTTATTAAGATACTTTACTAAGTGTGTTTTCACATGTTTTTCGAGGATTTTAGAAATGAGTGGTAAAATTACAATTGGTCTGTAATTAAAAACGTATATGTTGTATCGGTCAAAAACGTCGTTATGGTGAACGTATACTTATGAAGTGTTGATTTCAGTCGATTTTAAATGAAAAAAAAAAGTTTCTAGATACAACTGCTTAAACTCCTTTTTTGTACATATCGTGTGCCACACACACAAAAACATGGCAAATAATAAAATTGTTTTCTTCCGAAATGTTGACAGTAATAACAAGGGTGATGTTTGTAATAACGCAAGGTATCAGACGATTAAAATCATACTATCCGTTTTAGATTAAAAATCAATCATTTTCTGGGATAAAGCATAGAAAAAGGATTAGGGTAAAATTGTAATAGAAATCTATCACTGACGTCATAACGTTGTCTGAATTTAGCCACGAAACAATCAAAACGTTCGACACAAGTACATGTATCATACAAATTTTGAGATCAGCCAGATTAAAATGCATCTTTATCCAGAAATGGTTGGACAAACGAAAAGAAAGGATAAAGTGTATTTATTTCCGACACAAAATCACCACTCGTACATCGTGAGACCTTGACTGGACTAACACCAGGAGAAATAAAAACGAATTACATGTTTTAATGAGACAGTAGGGCTTTAATATACATCCATGACAAAACTTATTACAGAAACTTGACAAAAATCAAAGCAGAAAAAAAATGCGAAACTTTTGCTATTCTCTACCTCAAGGTAACAGAGTTATTTTCAACATGGTATACAAGCTCAAGCCGATTCCTTTGACCATAACACTTCATTTGTGCAATTTCGATATTATCAACAAATTTCACACTACATTGTTATAATTTAGCCAACATTCATTGTATAATATAGAAACTTTATCTAAACATTGCTAACCTAGTACAAAATTTGCGTTGATAACATCTTCATTTGACGGGATTTGATGCCCTCAGTTTTATACACTTGTGGTTTTAAGTCTGTGATAAATTTCCATAGCGTCTTTCTTACACAGTAGTGTCATCAATTATCAGTAAAAGATTGCAATATTTTGCGGTAAAATAATTCAAAAGTGACAATAGGAAAGACTAAGGTATGATTTTACATACGGTATGCAGTGATAAATTATCAACATTGGTAACAATTGAATCAGAACAAGAATAAGAGTAGGTCTGTTATTTCTAAATAATACATTCAGTTTTACTGAATCTGGTAAATTTCAAACAAAAACAAATTTATTACATCGAAGTAAACTGAAAACAGAGGATATCTCAAATGTCAAATTAATGATAAACAATGATGTATTAACTGAATTATTACATTCTCTATATTTATTACTAACGTATAATAAATAGCAGACTAAATATTTAAATATTGAATATACTGGACATACATAAACTACTTTCAATGAAGTACAAATAGTACGCATATTCTCTCAGCTGTTCGATAAATTGTATAAATTCGGAAAATAGCTTACCAAATTAACTGACACAATCTGATGGATATCGAACAGCACAGCTTAGGGATCACCAAAACACTTGTTGATGTTAAAATATATTGTACAAACTGTATACAATGTAGAAGGTAATAACCTCTGACTAGAACAAGGGGCACTTCTAAATCGACGAGATAATTCATATGATATTCAAAATTCCGTTATTGTCGATAAAACCATTTTTAATAAAAAAAAAAAGCCGATGTATAATATAGTTTTTTAAGTGTTATATTAAAAAAAATGTTAATTTCTTAATTGATATATTAGACAGACGTTTGGTTATATTGTAAACTTCATGAATCTTATAGAGAATTTATAAAAGAATATCTGTATAACGTGTATATGGGTTTGGTTTAATGCTTTGTTCAATTTCGAAATAAGGCATACGCATATAAATTATTCAAGGAATTGTCAAGAGATAATGGGTTTAGAAAGTGACAAGACCCATTACAGGGCATGATTTATGTTCAAGACAAAAAAGGGATATTAAGTATGGATACAGTAACAAACGACAATCACTGAATAACAGGCTCCTGATTTGTTAACAGGAACATACAGAACATGTATACGGACGCCCAACCCTCCCTTAACCTGGGACAGTGGTGTAACAGCACATCATAAGAACAAACTATAAAAATCAGTTGAAAGGGCTTAATATCGTTTCACCTCGGCCTCTAGTAAGTGTTCTCAATCTATTATTTAAATGCTTTTAACTAGTTCCATAACTACTATCAAAAACTTATCATTAACTATTGTAATAAAACATATGTAAATAATGGAATTAACTATTTTTGGAGTGTAAAAAATTCTTTGGATGTTTTAGATGAATCACGTGCTTTTGATGGTCCTTTTGATTCTTCTGACAGTTTTGACTTTCAACTCTTTACACTACACTTCCACACAATCTTATCAAACAAAAATGTTCCTATTTAATTAAATGGACGTTAGAAAAATCTAATTGCAAATATACTTGCTGCAACTCATTTAAAGCCTTCTTCTCTAATGAGAAAGGTAAATATGCTAGATATACTTACTGGAGGTATGATGAGATGATTGAAGCAGTTTATTTCTCCTTGATAACATTTATCTACGTTTCGGCAATAAAGTGTATCGACAGGTTGTAGGTATTCCTATGGTCACCAATTGCGCCCCTTTAATAGCAGACTTGTTCTTGTACTGATGTGAATCACAGTTTATGATCAAACTCAGTAAAGACCCGTCTAAGTTACATTTAATTGATAAATTCAACAACACTTATCGTTATCTTGGTGATATTTTTTCGTTAAATAATCAAGAATTTTTTAAATATACTGCCGACATTTACTCATAGGAACTTACTATAAATAAATCAATTATTAACGGTAATAACTGTCCTTTTCTAGATTTATATATTTCAGTTTTACACGGAAACTTCTACAATAAAATTTACGACAAAAGGGGCGATTTTTCTTTCCCTATTGTTAATTTTCCTTTTTAGTATGGTGATGTTCCTATGGCACCATCTTACAGTGTTTATATTTCGCAACTGGTTCGTGTCTGTACTTATGTTTTGCATTTCAATGAACGTAATCTATGTATTACTGGTAAATTATTAAGTCAGGGATTTCGTTACCACAAATTATTTAAACCTTTACTAAATTCTTCCATAGATACAAAGATTTGGTTTGTAAGTTTGGCTGTACCTGTAGTAAACTTATTTCAAACGGGATAGCAAATCCTAATTTTTAAGGAGATGGTGTTGACCGAGCCCGAAAATTTAGATACGATCCGGGTAAACTTATCGATCCTTTAAATAAACTTGTTCTAAAAGGTTACCAATTCAACACTGTAGCTAGATCTTTAAATATTGTTTGATTGGTATAAACATTGATTTTGTTATCAGAAATTAAAATTAAACTAATATTATTGTTATATACATACACATATGGACATTCACGGCTCTACAATCTGTCCATACCTGTATTTTTGCATTGCACAAGGTCATTTTTTTTTCTGACTGTTACACTAAATTCATTGGATGTTGGATGTGTGCTGATTGATACTTTAGTCTTAGATACATGATTTTTTTATTAGTTTTTATTGAGTTTGAACTAGCTGTTCGTAACTGCGAGTACTCTCAGATCTGTACTTCGTGTCTTTTTTGTTGTAGGGATGTATGAATAGTCACGTCCGTTCTGTGTTTTTGTTACTTGTTTTCTGCTTTGTATCGATCTGATGAGTTACGCCCTTTTCAACTGATTTTTATAGTTTGTTCATATGTTGTACTGTTACACCACTGTCCCAGGTTAAGGGATGTTGTGCGCCCGCTAACATGTTTAACCCCGCCACATTCTGTATAAGTCAGGAGCCGGTAATTCAGTTGTTGTCGTTTGTTGCTGTATATCATATTTGTTTTTCGTTCATTGTTTTTACATAAATCAGGCTGTTAGTTTTCTCGTTTGAATTGTTTTACATTTGTCATTTCGGGGCCCTTTTATAGCTGACTATGCGGTATGGGTTTTGCTCGTTGTCGAAGGCCCTATGCTGACCTATAGTTGTTAACTTGTATGTGATTTGGTCTCTGATGGAGAGTTGTCTCATTGACAATTCTACCACATCTTCTTATTTTTGTATTGACTCATCAGATCGATACAATAGTTTGCTACACGTTCTTATATCAAAATTTCAAACATAATCAACGCGATTTTTTCATTGCCCATTCTATGTGTTTATTTCTCTGGTAAATTTAGTAATCCAGTATCATCAAACTTATCAGGAAATCGGTGCGTGTATGATAAATGTCATGCATTATAGAATGTACTGAAATGAAATGGCTGCAACAGGACAAAATGCTTTTCAGTTTATATATTTCGGCATAAAAGTGAAAATAACTTGTAAAGTGTAAAATAGAACTATCGTATTGTATGCATAAATAAAGCTTCAACGGATATATATATATATACCTATGAATGTTATATTAATATATAAACCAATACAATCAGTTAAAGCGGAGAGGAATCATTTTTAAAGTCGATAAAAAATATAACAGAAAGGAGGAAAGATAGATAAAAAAAATCTACACTTACCTTTGAGGGGATTTAGAACTAGCTGAATAACTTGTTTCCTATATTGTTAACTCTGCAATAAAGTAACGTTTAGCTTTAATATTCATCAAAGAGCCGATTATCCATCTTCTGTTACAGTTATTAATCAAACCTAACCCAGGAATGCAAAAAATACAGCACATCCAGTTGTAACACATTCATTAGTATAAATGTTTATACAATTTACAAGAACAACATTATAATAGATTCCTGCTTATAAACTTCTGGCAGAACTTTTCACTCAGACTTTGTTAGAAGGCATTGATAGAATCTATAATATCTTAATCAATTTCGGGCATACAAAGGGGGGATCATATTCAAATGTTGTCAACTGTCACGAAGTACTTACACATATAAATATACAAGTATACAAGACAGCAAATATATTTAACATCTTAAAATTTTCGTCGAAAGCAAACTGAGGTTTTTCTTTTCTTCTTAAAATGGCAAATAAAATAAAAATATCACATAAATATATAAATATTTAAAACCTTATGATTCCCTAAACAGTTCAGAATTAAAACAAGCATTTAAATTAGTTAAAAGTATCATATCTGATTTCATACAGTTCCTAACAATAAAACAATTAATAAAGACACAAAGCATCTACAGACCGAAACAACATAGCCTACGTGTCACCGTAGTCTATTAATAACAGTCAGATTATGTAACGCTGTGTTTTATGTAGAATCGATTGACAATTAAGAACAAATATATTTATCTGGAACAATTAAACCCGTGTAAGAAAGCTCACTTAACCTGTGTCTGTAAATTTGTTCTATTTATTATTTTAACGTACATACAATTAGTTTATTTATGTATATAAGAATAAAATGGGCCAGAACCATTAAAACGTACACATAGATGTTGAAAAAAAAAATTAATGAATTTCGCGAGTTCTTTAATCTTATAATTTTCAAATGATCAGTGTTCCGGCGTTTTCACAAAACTATATTATAAAGACAAAAGTTTAATGCTTGAAAAGAAGATATATTCGTAACACTCTTGAGATGTATTACACACTATTTTTCACGGCGGTATATTGAATTTGCTTCTTTGAAGTATGTTATGTGCATACGTTTCGTTTGATGGCAAAACAGTTTGCTGAATAATAATAATAAAGTCTGCTGCCCTGGTATGGGAAACTACTATTTTAATATGGTTTGGGAATAATATAATCAGGGAAATAATTAGATAGAAAAAAAGAAACAAACACACCGACAATAACAATCCATTGTAATACCTTCTTGTACTCATTCAAGGGATTACAAAATAAAGACGGATCGTAGTATTGTGATACATATATTTTAAAAGAATGTAAAACAATTGATGTAGATTTATATATATACAGACATATATAATAGGCTATATTTAAATTGCGTGACCCGTGCGGACTCTATCCAGCTATTGTTGAAGGTGTTATAAAACTGTAATCAAGCTGACCAAGTCTGGGGTTAAGTGGGATCATTATTAAATTAAGTCGGATCAATAGATTAAACACCTGCGTTTTAAATCTTTTTATTTTTTTTAATAATCTATATGTTAAAGATTTATATGTTTTGCTCAATAACAAAGTTTATTAGGGTTTAATTTAATGAATTCTTCACGACTTAACTAGGAACATGTCATCCCAATTCTTGTGTAGTGTATATCCGTCTATTCAACGAAAACGTAACATTGTTCAAGTATCGAATCATTAAAATTTACGTTTTTTTTTAATTTTAACAATGTACTTATTCAACAGACTTTTTTCTGTCTAATATTTTGCCTTCTAAAATAACATGGGACATTCTATTTGCAGTTTAACTTGATACCAGCAGTATTGGCGGTCGAAGAAGAATATGTCTAGTGACAAAGAAATTATGCTTTAAAATGTTAACCTGAGTAACTCGCTAATGAAAATAAAGAAAAGCATTCGTAGTATAAACAGTCCTGATTATCAGGGAATATAAAATAGTCCTAATGTTCATGGAGTATACAAAAGTCCTGATGATCATGGAATATAAAATAGTCATAATGTTCATGGAGTATACAAAAGTCCTGATGTTCAGGGAATATAAAATAGTCCTAATGTTTATGGAGTATAAAATAGTCCTAATGTTCACGCAGTATACAAAAGTCCTGATGATCAGGGAATATAAATTAGTCCTAATGTTCATGCAGTATACAAAAGTCCTGCTGTTCATGGAGTACAAAATAGGCCTGGGTCTCAGGGATTAAAATACCCGCATTCCTAAGGCTCAGGGAGTAAACTATATGTAGTCCTGAGTCTCATGTTGTATAACATAGCCATGATGCCCAATGGAGTATAAAATAGTCTTGATACTCAATAGAGAATAAAATAAGTCCGGAGGCTCCGTGAGTAAAAATAGTCCTAAGGTTCAGTGCGTACAAAAAAAGTCATGAGGCTCAGCGAGTACAAAAAAGGCCTGGTGTTTAGGGGGTACAAATACTCCTGATGTTCATTGAGTACAAATAGTCCTGATGTTCATTGAGTACAAATTGTCCTGATGTTCATTGAGTACAAATAGTCCTGATGTACAGGGAGTACAAAATAGTCCTTAGGCTCAGAGTGTAAATAAAAATAACCCTTATTGCCCAATGGAGTACAAAATATCCCTAATGGCCAATGGAACATACAATAAACTGATCCACAGGCAGTACAAAATAGTCCAGATGCATTTATTTCAAATTAAATTAAGAACAGAACAATTAAGAGATAATTGGAAGATTAACGTAAGGTTTAACGTACATATCAAAACTTTAGTGTTCTTATAAAAATAAGAAGATGTGGTATGATTGCCAATGAGACAACTCTCCACCAGAGACCAAATTATACTCTTGCTTATAAGCGTTCATCATGGCAAAGTTAATTTTATCTACAAAATTTGCCTGAAAGTCGCCTGGAATACAAAAAGTGTCAACATTGTATAGACAGACACCTGTCTATAATTTTTGAGTATTGTATGTTTTCCTATACTTGTCTTTCGGTTATATTTATCGGTTAGTTTCTTGGACTTCTTCAGTCCAGTAGTAACACCATTGCTAAAGTGAGGCGTCCGTTTGGTTGTATGGGATGAATAAATATGCAGTCACATCCGGTTGAAATGGGGAAGTTAAATATAAAACCTCGGATATAGATTGTGTCAAACTCTCTGTATACGTTTAAAAACTCTTGCAACACCAATTTAAATGGCCCAGGGGTGGCATGGTTCAAAGCAAAATTTCTTCCTCTATCAAACATACCATCATATCATGTTGTAGTCGATATTCTTGCTCTTCATTGGCAGAAGACTCATTGTGAATGAAATATTTGCCACTGGACGTTAGTCAAACAACAATCAATCAGTCTATCTTGTTATGCATGTCAAATATTTCGTTGTCCTTGTCCGTCTTTGTTCATATCTCCTCACCGAATACCACTAAGCATTCAAGTTTTACTCCTTGTTTTTCGTGGGGTTCGTAATGTGATAAAATACTAATTCTTTTAATCAACCAAAGGTAACCAACATTATCTATAACTTATCAGTTAGTTTACACATATTAAAGCTATATTTGAAAAGTTGCATCATCTGGAATCAGATATTCATTGCAAATAAGTATTGTGATTGGTGATTTGGCATTAAATTCCATAGCAAATTATATAACGGAGCTAAAACGGCTTATCTTTAAAAAAAAATCTCTTTGTGATGACAGACGTCCAAGTGATGAATATAATTGCAGTACTGAACTATTGTGTTGTGCAGCATTTAATTTCTGAAATTGCTTGATTTTGTAATTCCCTATTGTTATGTTCAATAGACTTCATACCATAAAATTGTTATTCTCTTTCTAAATAGAGAAATATCACATTGAAAACAAAGAGAAGTCATACATATATTCTCTGTGTTAACCAGTGGTGTAGAGAATGTATATTTAATTACGTTTCGCGTATGCTGTACATTTAATTCAGTGAATTTTCATGTCATTCAGTCGTATTCAGAACTAATCAATGTAAATCGATGGTGTTCGGAATCAAAATAAAAAAAAAAAAAACACTTTATAGATTTTAGATTTTATGGATTTTCCCAAATCGATTTTTAGCTAACCTGGCCTAAGGGGCCAAGGGAGCTTTTCTCATTACTTGGCGTCCGTAGTCCGTCGTCGTCCGTCGTCCGTCGTCGTCCGTTAACATTTACAAAAATCTTCTCCTCTGAAACTTCTGGGCCAAATTTAACCAAACTTGGCCACAATCATCATTAGGGTATCTAGTTTAACAAATGTGTCCGATGACCCCGCCTGCCAACCAACATGGCCGACATGGCTAAAAATAGAACATAGGGTAAAATGCAGTTTTTGGCTTATATATCTGAAACTAAAGCATTTAGAGTAAATCTGACATGGAGTAAAAATGTTCATCAGGTTTAGATCTATCTGTCCTAGAATTTTCAGACGAATCATACAACACGTTGTTGGATTGCTGCCCCTGTATTGATAATTTTAAGGAAATTTTGCCGGTTTTGTTATTATCTTGAATATTATTATAGATAGAGATAAACTGTAAAAAAGCAATAATGTTCAACAAAGTAAGATCAACAGATATGTCAACAGGACCAATATTGTCTGACGGGGTAAAAATGTTTAGATCTATCTGCTATGAAATTTTCAAACGAATCAGACAACCCGTTGTTGTTGCTTCCCCTGAATTGGTAATTATCTTAAATATTATTATAGATAGAGATTAACTGTAAACAGCAATAATGTTCAACAAAGTACGATCTACAAATAAGTCAATATGACCAAAATTGTCAATTGACCCCTTAACGAGTTATTGCCCTTTATATTCAATTCTTAACAATTTTTCGTAAATTTTTGTAATCTTTTACAAAAATCTTCTCCAATTAATCTACTGAGCCAAATAGAAATATACTTAGCCACTATTTTAAATAGGGTATCTTGTTTGAAAGATGTATAAGATGACCCTGCCATCCAACCAACATGGCCGCCATGGCTAAAATAGAACATAGGGGTTAACTATAGAAGTCTATGAGGAAATTATAAAAGAAAACAATTTCAAATGGTCACAACTTGAAAACTTATTTAAATAATGATAAGGAGTCTTCAGTAACTATTGTAAGACTACAATGGGATGTCTTTCTTTTGATTTAACTACTGGGCCAAATAAAACCAAACTTGGTCTCAGTCATTAATAGGGTATCGAATACTATTTATTATGATTTTAACCTTATTTAACATGATTTCAAAAACCACAG